CCCGCCCCCTGATGGGCTGAGCTGGCCACACACACACACACACACACACACACACAAATAAATAAAATTTTTTAAAAAAGAAAGAAAGAAAAGACTGCTGAGCTACCTCCCCAGTCCAGCACACATTTTCTTTTTTCTTTCTTTTTTTTAATGTATTTAGTACAGGATCTACAGGGTCTCACTACACAGATTGGACTCATATTGATCCTCCTGTTTTCAGCCTCCCAAGCGCTCGGATTACAGGTGCACGCCACCATGCCCAGCCTCAGTCTCCAGCATGCCCTGTGGGCAGGGTCAGCATGGCTTTCCAGGGATCAAACCCCTGTTCCTGAGTCTGTCTAAGCAATTGCTTTAGTCTGCTGAGCTATCTGGCCAGCCCAACACAAGTTTTCTTAAAGGACCCGATAGTGAACATTTTAAACTGTGTGATGGATTAACAAACTTCAGGACATTGCATAGGTACTTACATAATTTTTTGGGGGGGGGCAGAATTGGGGATTGAACTCCTGCCCTTGCGCTTGCCAGGCAAGCACTTATTCTACTGAGCCATCTCCCCAGCCCCCTATAAATATTTAAAATGTAACTTATTTTTCTTTCTTTCTTTTTTTGTTTTGTTTTGCAGTACTGGGGATCGAGCTCAGGACCTTACACTTGCCAGACAGGCACTTAGGCCACCAAACTATCTCCTGGCCCAATCTATTTTTTTCTTTGTGGTACCAGAGATTAAACTCATGGTTTCCCACATCCTAGACATGTGCTCTACCACTGAGACCCTACCACCAGCCTAAAATATGTAACCATTTTCTTTTTCCCTCTTCCTTTTTTTTGGGGGGTCGTGCTTTGAGACAATGTCTCACCAGGCTGGCCTTGAGCTCATGGCGATTCTCCTGCCTCAGCTAGGATTATAGATATGCACCACCCAGGTTTAGTTGTGTGTGTTTGTTTTGATTTGTTTCCTTGTACTGAGTATTGAACTCAGGTCCTTCATATTTCTTTCTTTCTTTCTTTCTTTCTTTCTTTCTTTCTTTCTTTCTTTCTTCTCCTTCTTCTTTTTTTCTTTTCTTTTTTTTTTAATGTATTTGGCACAGGGTCTCACTACGCAGCTCAGATTTGTAGTGATCCTCCAGGCTGTCTCTCCAGTGCTGGGATTACAGGTGTGCGCCACCATGCCCAGACCTGGTGGCTAGCTCAATGCACCTGGGGGCAGGGCCGGCAGGGCATGTGGTGCCAGGGATCAGCCCCAGTCCCTGTGCTTGCCTAAGCAGGCACTTAGTCCGCTGAGCTATCTCACGGGCCCCTTTATACTTTTTTAGTTTTTGTTTCTATTTTGAGACAAGTTCTCACTAAACCACTAACTTGCCCAGCCTGGATTCCTCCCAGAGTTCTGGGACAAGAATATACTACCATGCCAGTTCTAGAATGTATAACTCACTCTTTTTTTTTTTTTTTTTTTAACTGAATCTAACTATGTAGTTCCTAAACTCCTAAACTCAAACCGTAGGCCCAGGCTGGCCTTAAGGTCACAGCAATCCTCCCACCTCAGAGTCCTGAATGCTGGGATAACAGGTGCTTGCCACCACACCTGACCCTGCTCCCTTCCTTTCCTTTTCTTTTTTTCTTTCTAGTGGTTTTTAGGATTGAGCTCAAGGTCTTCACACTAACTACATCCCAGAGCCGGCCAGATAGCTCAGCAGATTAAAGCACCTGCCTAGGCAGACACAGGGGATGGGGGTTCAATCCCTGGCATGCCCTGCTGGCCCCACCCCTGGGGCACACTGAGACAGCAATTGAGACTGGGTGTGGTAGCCCGTACCTGTAATCCCAGTGCTTGGGAGGCTGAAAACAGGAGGATCACTACGAGTCCAATCTGTGTAGTGAGACCCTGTAGACTCGGTAGACCCTGTACAAAAAAAAAACCATATATATCCATATATATCCATATATATCCATATATATATCATCCTTATACTTTTGTGTGTGTGAACTTTTCAGTAAATTGCCTGGCTTGTATCCATTTCAAAATAGAAAAAGCAGCTAAACAGCAGTACACACTATCCTTAGTTACTCAGGAGGTTGGGGCAGGTGGATCATCTGAAGCCAAGAGTTGGAGGCCAACCTGGCCTCCAACTCTTGGCCTCTTTGCTTTTTGCCACACAGCAAAGCTCACAAATACAAACAAAAAGAGGTGACAAGCCAGATTTGGTCCCCCTGCTTTAAGAGACCAATTAAGGGCCAGGGAGATAGCTCAGTAGAATAAGCACTTGCCGGGCAAGCACAAGGTCCTGAGTTCAATCCCTGGTACCATAAAAAAAAAAAGAGAGACCAATTAAGCATTTATGTACTCACATACATCTAGTGTCTGCCCCACTAGACTGTGCACAAGGTCTCGTATCAGACTATTTATTTATTTTAATGTATTTAGTACAGGGTCTACTGGGTGTCACTACACAAATCAGACTTGTAGTGACCTTCCTGTTTTCAGCCTCCCAAACTGGAAGTACACATGTGTGCCACCACGCCCAGTCCCAATTGCAGTCTCAGCACGCAGTTAAGTGTGCCGTCTCAGCTTGCCCCTGAGGGCATGCGGGAGAGGCAGGGAGGCATGGCACATCAGGGATTGAACCCTGGTCCTTGTGTCTGCCTAAGCAAGCATTTTTTTAAAAAATTAATTTTATTGAGAAAGAAATAGTAATGAGACAGTTTCAAAACAGGTTAGTAGGACAGTTACAATAATTAATACATTACATATTGTTGTGTTTGTAGTAGTTACTCATAGTTCAAGATTCAGACATGCTATCTTGTCTAACACTATTATTACAAATCTTTCTTCTCATTGCACTAAGAGAAAGTAGCTGTATATCTATCCTAACTATTTTATTTTGTTTTTCCAATAATTTTATTGAGAAACAAATAGCAATGAGACAGTTTCAAAACCTATTACTAGAACAATTTCAATAATTAATACATTGCACTTGTTTTGCTTTACTTGAAAACAAACTTTTACTTGAAAAGGTCCCGGACATGTAGATGCTGGTCAATAAATATGTGTTGAAAGGGCATGAACCAGTGTGACAAATGGGGTCTTGAATCATAGTTAAGTTTTTCCTTTAGGCTACTTTCAGGCTGGAATATGAGAATTTGCTATTGGTGGATGTCACAAAAGGAGAGGAAGAAAATTACGCTAAGCAAGCACTTTAATCCGCTGAGCTATCTAGCCAGCCCTTATATCAGGGCTTTTTTTTTTTTTTTTTTTTTTTTCAGAACCAAGGATTGAACTCAGGCCCTTGCCCTTGCTAGGCAAGCACTTATTCTACTGAGCCATCTCCCCGGCCCCTTTATCAGACCTTTTAACATCCCCATGGTCTAACTTAGAATCTGGTGCACAGGGGGACACTTAATAGAGATTTGGGGAGTGAATAAACGAATGAACAGGAGCCTGAGTCCCTGAATGAAATGAAACCAGAGTCCCAGGTGCTTCATTTCCCAGCTCACCCTTTCCTTACCCAACTTCGCTCCTCAGATGTGCTAGAATGTCACACAGAACCCTTTGACCTGCACAATCTGCAAGCCCTGGAGAGAAACTAAGATAAGCCCCGGCTTCCAGCGTGCTTCGCGTTGCTCCAGGAGCCTGGCGCTATCTCTCAGCCCCGAGAGACGTGGCCCAGATGATCTTCACACTGTCTGCATGTCTCAACAGCTCCCAGCAATGACCTTATCAGAGTCCCACCACACAGAGAGAGGAAGGAAGCAGAGTGTGGGGTTTGGGAAGGAAAAAGGAAAGAGTGAGACAACTCTGGAGTAAGCAGCGGGGGAATTTCAATAGAGAAGTCCATATTTCACTAGTGGATGGCAGATGAGGAGGACCCAACAGAGGCGGGGGGAGGAAGTGGCTGAGGTTGGGCAACTGGGGAGTTTCTTATCCTTTTAGTCTAGTGCAACAGGAGACCTGAAAGCAGACTGCCTCCTGCTTGATGTCCGCTGTCCACCAAAAAGGACCGCTCTCGGGGCCACTCAGACTTCTGGGAGAGCCTGGAGACAGAGGCCGGTGAGTGCTTGCAGCTGCTGCCTTGGCTTCCCAGATCTCATCACACAGGTGGTAGCAAGCAGGAAAGCCTAGGCCTGGCTGGATGTGCAACAGGGTAGAGGTGGCTGCAGCAGCAGCAGCCTGAGTACAAAAAGGGCCCCCCAGCAGTGCTTGGAAATGGCCAAGGAAGTAGACGGGTCGGAGCACTCTGGGCTTATGAGATCATCTGGAGGATACTGAAGAGGCCTAGGGTTTGAGCAGGACAGAGATATAAGACATATTTAGATAAGAGATATTTTGGGGCCGGGGAGATGGCTCAGTAGAATAAGCACTTCCCTGGCAAGCACAAGGGCCTGAGTTCAATCCCTCGTTCCGCCAAAGGAAAAAAAAAAAAGATAAGAGATATTTTGATAAGAATTTGGAGAACTCTGAGAATAGGAAAAGACTAAGAGACCCTAAGAAAAGAGTTAGGGGGCCAAGGAGATGGCTCAGTAAAATAAGTGCTTCCCTGGCAAGCGCAAGGGCCTGAGTTCAATCCCCGGTTCTGCCAAGAGGAAAAAAAAAAAAAAAAAGAAGAAGAAAGCTGGGGGCCTTGAGGTAAAGAGGTTTTAGAAGGTGCTTGGGAGGCTAAGCTCAAGGTGCTCAGAAGCAAAGTAGGTGTGAGACCCACAGCTGCTCACAAGATCTAAGTCGAAATCCAGGGGCCAGGGAGATAGCTTATTTATTTATTTATTTATTTATTTATTTATTTATTTTTGGTGAACTGGGGATTGAACTCAGGCCCCTGTGCTTGCCAGGGAAGCGCTTATTCTACCAAGCCATCTCCCTGGCCCTGGTACCTTATTAAAATATTCTATCAGGCTGGGAAGATAGTTCAGCAGGTCTAAGCACCTGGCTGGGCCGGGGAAATAGCTCAGTAGAATAAGTGCTTGCCTGGCAAGTGCAGGGTCCTGAGTTCAATCCCTGGTACCACAATAAAAAGCACCTGCCTGGCAAGCACAAGGACCTGGGTTCGATGCCCAGTACCGCATGCCGTGCTGGCCCTGAAACCCCGAGCACACTGTTTCAGCCACAGAAACTGGGCATGATAGCATATACCTGTAGTGCCAGCACTGGGGAGGCTGAGACAGGAGGATCACTAGGAATCCGAGCTGCATAGAGATCCTGTACCAACTTATCTTTTATTTATGTATTTATTTTTGGCGGAACCAGGAACTGAACTCAGGCCCTTGTGCTTGCCAGGGATGCACTTATTCTTCTGAGCCATCTACCTGGCCCCCTCTTTTTTTTTTTTTTTTTTGTACTAGGTATTGAACTTGGAACCATGAGCATACCAGGCAGGCATTTATGCCACTGAGCTGACTCCCCGGCCCTCTCCTTTCTGTCTTGTCAGCCTCCACCATGCAGAACACCTCAGACACCACCTTCTCCTGCTACCACGAGTCTGTACTGAGCTATCGCTACGTTGCTGTCACATGGGGGATAGTGGTGGCTGTGACAGGCACTGTGGGGAATGTGCTCACCCTGCTGGCCTTGGCCATCCAGCCCAAGCTCCGGACCCGCTTCAACTTGCTCATTGCCAACCTCACACTGGCCGACCTGCTCTACTGCACCTTCCTCCAGCCCTTCTCCGTGGACACCTACCTCCACCTGCACTGGCGCACTGGCGCCACCTTCTGCAGGGTATTTGGCCTTCTCCTTTTCACTTCCAACTCGGTCTCCATCCTCACCCTCTGCCTCATTGCACTGGGACGCTACCTCCTCATTGCCCACCCTAAGTTTTTTCCCCAAGTTTTCAGTGCTAAGGGGATAGTGCTGGCACTGGTGGGCACCTGGGTTGTAGGTGTGGCCAGCTTTGCCCCCCTCTGGCCTGTTTACATCTTGGTACCTGTAGTCTGCACCTGCAGCTTTGACCGCTTGAAAGGCCAGCCTTACACCACCATCCTCATGGGCATCTACTTTGTGCTGGGACTCAGCAGCGTTGGTGTCTTCTATTGCCTCATCCATCGCCAGGTGAAGCAAGCAGCAAAAGCGCTGGACCAGTACAAGCTGCGACAGGCGAGCATCCGCTCCAACCATGTGGCGGGGACAGACAAGGCTACACCTGGCCATTTCAGGGAACTGGACAGCCGGATGACAGCAAGAGGACCCAGTGATGAGACTGCATCTGAGCCAGCCAGTGCTGCCACCACTCAGACCCTGGAAGAGGACTTATCAGAGGTGAGGGACCAGGACAACAGCAAGGTACCTAAGCACCCAGAAGAGAAAATGCCCCCAGGAAGATCTGCCAAGTCCCAGCCAACTAAAGAAGCCCGAAGAGCTCAGGACTCCTCATCAGAGTTTGGGAAGGTGACACGAATGTGTTTTGCTGTGTTCCTCTGCTTTGCCCTCAGCTATATCCCCTTCTTGTTGCTCAATATTCTGGATGCCAAGGTCCAAGCTCCCCGGGTTGTTCACATGCTTGCTGCCAACCTCACCTGGCTCAACAGTTGCATCAACCCCCTCCTCTATGCCGCCATGAACCGCCAGTTCCGCCAAGCATATGGCTCTGTCTTAAAGCGAGGACCCCAGAGTTTCCGCAGGCTCCATTAGAACTGTGTCCCAGGACCAGAATCTAGGGCTGTCTTCTCCAGAATCCAGGTGGCTGCTGATAGGACAATGGGTAACATGACACCTGTGGGCATTTCCACAGATGACCTCTCAATCCCCCAAATGAAGCTTCTCCATGCTCTTATCAGTATTCAACCCTAGCCTGCCCAAGCCTACTGTCAATTTTTATTTTGTGTAGGTGGCATGCACGTGTGTGTGTGTGTGTGTGTGTGTGTGTGTGTGTGTGTGTGTGTGGCTCAGCCCACCCTGGGGACGGGCTGGCATAGCATGTGGTACCAGGGATCAAACAGTGGTTCCTGCACTTGCCTAAGTTTGCCTCAGCAGGCTCTTTAGTCCACTGAGCCATCTCACGAGCCCCCTTTACTGTCAATAAATAAGTTAATTACATGCTTTTAGTGTTCAGGTGTGCTCAGAAAAAAAGGAAGCAGGGCAGGATTGGAGCCAGAATTTAATAGCTGAGGATTTGGGAAACTTATGTCAGAATAAGACTAGGGACCAGCGGGCCAGGGACACAGCCTTCAGCTGAGAGATTTCCAGGTTATAAAAAAATGTGAGGTATTGGGCTGGTGAGATGGCTCAGTGGTCTAAAGCACCTACTTAGAACAAGTTTAGGAAAGCACAGGGACCACGGTTCAATCCCCAGCACCACATGCCAGCCAGCCCCTGGCCACACACACACACACACACACACACACACATAAATAAATAAATAAAATTAAAAAAAAATGTGAGGTAGCCACACGATAGGCCACATGCCTACCATCCCAGCACTCTGGGAGGCTAAGCTAGGAGGACCACAGATTTGAGCCCAGCCTGGGAAAATTAGCAAGACTCTTTCAAAAATAAGAAAGAATGGCATACCCCTGTAATTCTAGCACTGGGAGGCTGAGGCAGGAGGAGTGTTGGAAGTTCAAGACCAGCCTGGGGGGGCTGGTGAGATGGCTCAGTGGTCTAAAGCACCTACTTGGAGCAGGCTTAGCAAAGCACAGGGACGGTGGTTCGATCCCCCAGCACCACATGCCGGCCAGCCCCGCCCCCTGGTGGGCTGAGCTGGCCACACACACACACACACACACACACATATAAATAAAAATAAATTAAAAAAAGAAGACCAGCCCAGGCTACAAAGAGAGCTCAAGGCCACCGAACTGTACAGAAACCCTTTTAGTCAAAAAGACTTAATTGTGCCCAGTGTGCAGTGGCTGCACACAGTAACTTCCTCGGTAGTGTATGCAGCCTGTTGCTTGTATAGGCTGCCCTATGGGACCTTGGAGACACTCCTCCTGGTGGGCGTTCTGTGTATCTGACCTTGCCATCCCCAAACCAGGCTCCAGACTGGCATGTGGGGTGCCTTTGGGAAGCCCCAGGGCACGGTGGCAAGGGTCCACATTGGGCAGGTCATCGTGTCCATCCGTACCAAGCTGCAGAACAAGGAGCATGTGATCGAGGCCCTACGCAGGGCCAAGTTTAAGTTCCCTGGCCGCCAGAAGATCCACATCTCCAAAAAGTGGGGCTTCACCAAATTCAATGCGGATGAATTTGAAGACATGGTGGCCGAGAAGCGCCTCATCCCTGATGGCTGCGGAGTGAAATACATCCCAAATCGCGGTCCCCTGGACAAGTGGTGAGCCCTGCACTCCTGAAGGCTTCCACTGTGCCATCCCCAACAAGTTCATGAATAAATGTTCTCTCTTCTCAAAAAAAAGACTTAATTAATTAATTAATTAATTAATTAAAGCTATCCTGGGAGCCGGGGAGATAACTCAGTGGCATAAGTGCCTGCTTGGCAAGCACAAGGTGTAGCTTGCCTTTTTGTTTAACATCTCAGAAATTGCACTTAACCCTAACTACTGTTGTCACAATCTCCTATCCCTGTAAACAGGTTTTGTTACTTCAAAAAAAGTTTGATAATCCAGCTTTGACATCCATTCCAGTAAATCCAGCCCCCAGCCCTTGTCTTGTGCACAGAGACCTTTGGATGGGGATCCCTTGCTCTAGGGCAAACAATTTAGCTTGCTCAGGGGCCGGGGAGATGGCTCAGTGGAATAAGCACTTCCCTGGCAAGCGCAAGGGCCTGAGTTCAACACCTGGTTCCACCAAAAATTTAGCCTAGCTGAATTAAAGACAGACATGATTTCCAGCTGTCCTGGCAGGGTCCACCCTTCAGGGCTAATTCACTTGGTCCAAGTCACCCCCACACACACACCCTCAAACACCCACTCTTTCTTAGAGTAAGACTGGTTACAGGCTTCAAGGGCCAGGCTGCAGGAAACCACACGGTTCCTTCCCCTGCAGCACAGTCAACATCTAGCCCTGGTAGACAGGCACACTCACGCACTGCTAGAACACACCTGTGGCCACCAGGTGACGCTGGTTCTCTGTGTTTCCTTTCTGGCTTCCTAGTTGAGGACAGGAAATACCAGCACAACTGCACCTCCGGCAGTCCTCCCTGCCCTGACCTGGGGGTCTAACATCCAGGGATCTGCACGCTCTCTTTCCCCAAAGCTTAGGAAGAAAAATGAAGTATGAGACTTTTATTTTGCATGCAATGTTTGTGATCTATGCTAGAGGGGCCAGCAAGCAGGGTGGGCACTGGAGATGGACCGTGAGCTCTGTACTGACTATGAATCCTATGGCCGTCTGTTGAGCTACCCTTAAATCCATGGCTGATAGAACGAAGTCTAGAGAGACTGCAGGGGCAGAAAGAACCCCGGCTGGGCTGGACAAGATTGATATTCTCGGGTGGCCGGGGAGATGGCTCAGTAGAATAAGTGCTTGCCTGGCAAGCACAAGGGCATGAGTTCAATCCCCCATTCAGCAAAAAAAAAAAAAAAGAAAAGAAAAAAGAAAAGGAGTTCAATCCCCAGTACTACTCCAAACTCTTTTTCATAAAAAGAATTGAGCTTCCCAGCAATCTGAAAAGAAATGAAAAAAAAAAAAAAAAAAAAAGATTGATAATCTCGGGCCAGGGAGATAACCCAGCGGCATAAGTGCCTGCCCAGCAAGCACAAGGTCCTGAGTTTGATCCCCAGTACCAAAAAAAAGAAAAAAAGACTGATACTCTTGCATGCAAAACACTCCCACTCCCAAAGTCCAGGAGTGCTGCCTCCTAATCTGGGACACCAGTTTTGGGGACAACTCTGGGCCTCGAGTCTCATGAGCATTTTGGGGTTGTGGGGGATGAGACAGGAACTTGCTATGTAGTCCAGGCTGGCCTTGAACTCCCTGCAATTCTCCTGCCCCGGCCTCCGAGGTGCTGGACACAGGTGTGAAGCACCACACCCAGTTTTCACGCTCTGTGTGAAGCAGTAGTAGAGCAGTAGGGTGCATTATGCCCACAAGCTTAGTACAGTTCTACATGCTGCAAATTGCGGTTTTGTGTAATCCTCCTAACAGTTCCATAAAGTGTCTATTAATATCTTGCTTATAAATGCGACAGCTGAAGCACAAATAGATTAATTTGCCCAAGGTCAAAAGGTCTAGTAAATTGTACGCCAAGATTCCAAGGCAGAGTTTAACCAGCACAGTGGCTAATCACTATAGGACAGCTGCCTTGCTAAAATTAGGATCCACTCACCAGGCGATCCCTAACAGTCCTTCCTTCCTTCCCATTCAGACCTTCTAAGATTCTGAAAGTTGACCACTCCCTGAAGGGCTGTAAAAGGGCTCACTTTTCATTTTCCTTGAAGGCAACTCAAAAGCTTTCTCAGAGTAGAAAGGTGAAGCAATAAGGACTGAAATTAGACCTCAAGAAGGACTTCCCTCCCAATCGTGGGTCGCTGCAAGAAATGATTCAGGTGACATTTTCAGGAGAAAAAGTGACTCGGGACGCAGGAAGAAACCTTAGAATCTGAAGCTATAGAAGACTGATATTAGCAAAAAAGCAACCTCTTTTCTTTCTCCCTCCCTCTTTGAAAAAGGGCTGAATGCGGGGAAAGAAACGCAAGGAAAGCAAGGCTTTCCCCAAGGTCTTGCGGTGGCGTGACGCCGGAGCGCAGCGCAGTCTGGGGCCGCGTCGCGCGTGAGGCAGTGTCTGTCTATCTCTGGCCGTCGCCAGCCCACCCCGAGCTCTATCGCCGACTTCCTGACGCTATCTCGCGCGGCTTCCCTTTGTCTCTCTCCATCTGTCCGTCTCTCCTGGAGGCTGTCTCCATCTCCTGTACCTCCGTTATCACCCTTTTTCTCTCGATTTCGCATCTCCCTCCCCCGCCCCACGCCTCGCTTCGCCTTCGCGGGTCCCCAGCCCCCGTCGAGTCCCCCGCCCGCAGCCCCCCGCCCCGCGGCTCTTGCTCGTCCGCACCCTCTCTCTCTTTTGCTGTCTCTTAGTGGCAGATTTATGGTCAGCCCAGGGCCTTTCATTGGTCGAGCGCTGACAGCACTTGATTTAACACCGCCTCTCATTGGCTGATCTTGACAGGCTGATTTACGAGTCTCTCTACCATTGGCCAAACCGTTTTGGCCCTGATTTATGGCTCGGTGGCGGCAGGGAGGGGGGCGCAGCTGCCCGGGGAGGACGCCCCTCCCCTCGCCGCCTCCCCCCAGGAGCCGCGCGCTCGCTACCTGCTCCCCAATCCCCCTCCTCCCCTCGCAGCCGTCCGCAGGGAGGCCGGGGTTTGAGGGTGCTGCAGGGTAGGCGAGGGAGAGGAGCCCGAAGATGGGGAGCACGAAGGAGAAACTGGGGGGGCAAAAGAGCGACACAAAGAGGAGGGCTCAGGGAAGGGGAAGGCCGAGGCTGAGCGGGCAGGGGGCCGGGCTGCGAGAAAGCGCCTTTTGAGGACGAGCGGGCCGCAGCAGGAAGAGCAGGTCCTGAGAGGCACTTGTAGACTACACTGTCCAGACCCAGCGAGAGACAGAAATTTCCTTTCCGGACAACGGCTCTGAGAGGGAAATTCTTAGAGGAGCAAAGGCGCAAAAGAGGAGGGAGGGAGAGGCGGGAAAGGACAGCGGGAAGGTAATAGCGAGAAAAGACAGGGAGAACTGCAGAGACTTTGTTTCATTTTGTTTTGGAAGAGGGGGTGCGGTGAGAAAACCAATCCCCACTGGCAAACACTGCAGTGGCTCCTCTCCTCTCCCTGAAGACCTAGGCGCCTCCCTCAGGAGGTGGCTTGCCTGCGCAGGGCTGCACTAGTCTCTCCTCCTGTACCTCACTCCTCCCTCACTCACCTCCCCAGTGAAATTTATGAGCTCAGGATTGGCCTTCAGGAATTAGGAATATTTATGCTTCTTTGAGAATGAGATTTGGAAGGTGATAAATAAGGGGTCATTGCGGGATGCAGCTGGGGGCTCCTATTTTTAATATGGCCACTTTCCCAAAGCCCCCATCCGCCCTTTCTCTCTCATCCAGAGCCAGAGGAAGAGCTCTGGGGGTGGGGACGGTGTAAAATGGGCTTCAGATACCACGAAGGGGGTTTGATGATCCTGGAGAGTCCCTCTGAGGCCTGCAGAGCTTTGCAGCACAAAGGCCTGAAGGCAGCTAGGGGAGGAACTTTCCTGGCGGCCTGGCATGCTCAGAGCCACTGGAGTGCAGATGCAGTTTCTGTAGAGGGTGAGGAGAAGCCTGCTTCCCCTCAGGCCCCTATGCTCAATTGCCGAGGAAGAGGAAAGAGAAGCCAGGAATTCAGAGCGGGGTTTCTCTGGCTGGTCACCTCCCTCACAGGGAGAGGAGGATTTGAAATCTCCACCTCCCACAGCCAGCAGCCTCCAATCCCTGGGAAAGGAGGCTAAGAATGTGGAGCTCTGGGCATCTCCTAGGAGCCTCAGACCTCAACCTGTCCTCCCCCACTGCTGGCTGAGAATTAAAAACAGTCAGACCTTCTTGACACCCCTCGCCCTGGGCCTCCAGGAAGTGAGGGAGGGAGGGAGGGAGGGAGGGAGGGTCTGCTTGTAGATGCATATGCCTTCCCTAGCTCTCAGCTCCAAAACCTGGGTGCCTTCAACCCCTGGTCCAGCAATAGCATTTAGCTAGGTAAGGAACAAAGATGGAGATCATGAGGTAAGGGGAGTCTAAGGAGGATAGAGAGCTGGGAAGTCTCCACCCCTACCATGCCTCTAGCTACTCTGGCTTTAGCAAGATTGGCTCCAGTGCACATGCGTGCACACACGCCTGTGACCTGGAGTGGGAGGAGGGAGAATGAGAAGGGTCTAGACTGGCCCTTTAAGAGGCACTTAGGGTCAGAAAGCCTGGGCTACAGAGAGGGGAAGGAGCTGATGTCAGAAGACGGATGGGCAGCAAGATGGGGATTGATGCTAATGGGGGAGTTAAAGCTAAGTACCCAGACACTCAGAGGGCAGAACTGCAGATCTGTCTTCCTTATGCTCACCCCCCCCAACCAAGACTGTAAATCTGCCTCAATTGGGGGAAGGGGGAGTAATGAAAAAAGAGAGGCTCTCTTTTTCCCTTTTCCTGTTTCTTCCTTACCCAGTAACTACCTCCCCAATTCTTTTGTCCTCTCCCGATCTGATCTATCCACCCAATCTATTACCCCTTACCACTAACATTTTCAACTTTTGGCTTTTCATCAGAAATTGAATGAATGGTTTCAGTTTGCAGAAGAGTTTGTGAGGGGATCACAAGAAGTCTTCCACATCAGACTTGGGTGGAAATGGGCTAAGATTATGGTGAGAGTGGAGTTCAGACGCTCCCAGTTGCCGCACTTTCTTTTCCTTCTGTCCTCTTCTCTCCCAGGATAGTAGGATGAAGACAGGAAGTAGGGTGTTGGGTGCCAGGGGTTGGAAGGACTGTGAACCTCAGAGAGGAGTGCTTAGAAGCCTCTGACACAGCGACTCTGGCAGGCCGTGGTACAGCTCCGAGGGCAGCGCAGCACACTTTGGGAGCCATCCGAGGAAGATATACAGTTGGTTTCTCGGAAACTCCTGGAGCGCACCATCTCCTCTGCTAAAGCACAAACCCTGTCTTGCTGAGTAGAGACAATTTCAGGCCAATAGTGTATTTACTGTAAAGCCAGGGCCTGGCTGCTCCTTATTTTTTAAGAAGAAGTTGGGGATCTCAGAGAGGAAGGCATCTCAGAAGGGCTGGAACTAAGAACCTTTGGCCAGTTCTTCCTTCTTTTCTTTCTTTTTTGCAGAACTGGAGATTCAACTCAGGCCCTTGCGCTTGCCAATGAAGCGCTTATTCTACTGAGCCATCACCTGGGCCCCACTTCCTTCATTTTCAAGACCCTTATTTCCCTCCCTAGTAGTAATCTGGACGTGTGCTTGAGAAGCCCCTCTTTATATAGAAGTCCTTGTGTATCTCATCTATTGCAGTATTATAGCTGAATTTCTTCCTAGTCCTACAAACAGCTAGTGCCTGATTCCTCCAAAATAACCATAAGAGAGTAACCTTAAGATGCTGGCCTCAGCCAGCTATGATAGGACACTCCTATAATCCCAGCACTTGAGAAGCTGAGGCAGGAGGATCACCAGAGTTTTAGGCCAAACTAATCATAGTGGACTTAGGGCCAGCTTAAACTGCACAGTGAGACCCTTGTCTCAAAAAAAAAAAAAAAAAAAAAAAGACATGGCCCTCATCCCTTCTCCCAGTTTTCTTCAGAGGCTAAAAGTCACCTCAAGGTCATCCTATTCACTGTTTTCGGGAGTCTTCAGAAACAAGGTGAGAGCAAGGCTGAGGTAGGAAAACTGGAGTTTGGGAGCAGGAACCCCAGGACCCAGCCAACCAGCCTGGCCTAGCCTTCCCTCCCGTTGCAGAGGTCAGCCACCGCCCTCAGCCCTGCTCCCCGACTGCTTCTCTAGGCTGGTGATAAATTCTGCCTTTGTCTCCCATCTGACCCAGGCCCCAGGCAGGCTGGGGGGTCAGAGGCTGGGGGAGGGGTCACTGTGGAGGAGGGGAAGATTCAAGGGGAGTGGAAGAGGGACAGGAGCAGCTGGTGGGCAGAGAGGGGGCGGGGCCTCTCGAGTGTGTGAATGTTGGACATTCCAGCAGGCCTGCATCCCAAGTGAGAGAGTTCCTGAGAAGCTGGAGAAGTGCCTTCAGAAGGCTCCCCACAGCAGCCAGAATACTGAGGCTGGGGGTGGGGTGGGGAGGTTGCTTTGGGGTGCCTCGAGGAAAGAGGCTGTTAAATTGGAGAGCTTAGGTATTGCAGCCATCGGCCTTATCATCACCCGAGCCCCCTACCACATCCGTGTGCCCTGTGCCTGCGCATAACACAGAGACGCGTGGGCTGTGGCCTGAGCTAGGCCAGGAGCGCCAGCCTGCCCCGCCCCTGCGGCCTTCTCCTGCTGTGGCTTTCCTGTCTCCATCTCCATTCTTTTAGTTTGCTCCCAGCCTTCCTTTGTGTCAGTTTCCCCCATCCCCCAGCTGGTTATTCTAGCTTTCTGCTAACTCTCAGCCTCTTACTCGCCTTTTCTCCCCATTGTGCTCCCAGTTCGATCTTCCTGTGCCCTCCTTCCCACTTCCTTGGACTCATCTCTTCTGCTTCTGCCACTCTTCGGCACTGTGCTGCCCTGACCTGGGTCCCCAGCGGGGCCCTCTGGGAGTCAGGTTGCAAGGAGAGAGGGGAAGAAGAAAAGAATCTCCTTGGTCTGAGTCCCTGCTCTGGTGGGCCAGCTGAGAATCACACTCCTTGCTGTGGTACTGACGCAGGGGGCGAGGCTAAGAGGGGAGCAGAGAGGGCAGCACAACTAAGGGGGGACAGGGAAGGGAAAAGACAGAAGAGACACAGCAGGGCAAACATTAGAGCAAGGCGAGCACTCCGTGTTCCTTGTAAGAGTGTGTTTGAAGATGATCTAAGGGAAGGGGCCGAAGGGCATCAACTGAGCCATATGAGAAACAGATCTGGAGACCTGGCCTGGGAATCCAGTCTAAGAAACCAAACTGTAATGTCTGCCATGCAGCTACAATTGTCCCTGCCTATCTGGAGGGTCTCAGAGGCCTCTTTCTCCCTTGCAGATGATCTCCAAGTGCTGGTCCCCTCCTCATTAACCTCTTCTGCAGCAGCCTCCCTTTCTCTTGTGAGAATGACATCAGCCCTGGCTGCCACTGTCCCCCAGCCCTTCTGCTGATGTACTGTCCCATGGGCACAAGAGAGGCCAATCACTCTGCCCCACCCATTCACGGCCCAGCACCCTGCAGTGGTAAAGGGAGGAGGCTACACCAGGAAGGCGGCTGCAGGCCTTGGTGGGAAAAAGGGGGGTACCAAAGGGGTGAGAGGAGCCTAAGGGGGCACTTGAGGAGGAGAGGCTACAGCAGTAAATCACCCTGTGGGGGGCTTCCTCTGCCTGAGCTCAGTGGGGTGGGGAAAGGATAGACATAGGGGAGGGTGGAGAGAATAGGGGAGCGCCACATCTGGCAGGCAGGTGTCTGGCACGGTTCAGGCTGCAGTCACTTTCCCAGCCAAAGGGGAAGAAGGGGGAGAGGGGAGGAGGGGCCTCTTAGGGTCCCCTGGGGAAGAGGGGAAAGCTAGAAACAGAGTCAGAGGCCCACTGCCAGACAGCAAGGGAGAGCCTGATACCCTGCTTCCCATCTCTGCTCCAGTTGTGTTGAGGATGGGTTTGCTTAGACCCAAAAGAAAATTGTGGACCAGGGCACCAAGGTTCTCTTCCTTGCGGGAAACAGACCGCAGAAGAAACTGAAGTTCGAGAATTCCAAATCAGAGAGCTAGAGAGAATTCCACTCTGCATGCCACCGCTAGTCAGCAGCCCCCAGCTCTGGCCCTGACACACACCTCTCCAAGGGTCATACAGGGTGACCAGAAGGGAAGTTCGCATGCTAAAACCAGGCACTGCTTTTCCGCAGCTACGGCAGACAAGGACAGAAGTGATCCTGGCCGTTCTTCCCCTCCACTGGAGCGTTCAGTGCAGTTTTCTTCTCTACCTGCTCGGAGGCTCCTAGGCCCAGGTGTCCCAGGTGCTGAGCCTGGCAGCCAGGTTTCCACAAAGGCACAGGCCAAGTCTAGATACTCTAGGTTACTCCTGATGCTACAGATATGCTCCCCTTTCCTTTCCCTTCCTTCTCTATCTGAGCTGTTAATTCCATCTCTTGCTTGACCCAAGAATGGCAGGCTTGTTTCACGAGCGGCAGAGGTGACTGAGACCTTTCACATTGCAGTGGAGAGGAGGGCTCCCATACTACCCCCTCCTTAAAACTCTGCAGAGGAAGGGGAAAGAAAACCAACGCATTCTCCTGTCGCCGCGGCAACCATAAAACCCCCAGCTAAATCCATCTTGTGAGCTCACTGCCCCATTAAGATGCAGGGCCAGGCTCTGCGCCAGCCCAGCCACATTCATTTGTGCGAATAAAGGTGGAGGAGGGGGAGGGGTACAGGCTCTGGAGGGACGGGGAAATGGCGAGAAGAGGTTATTTACACCACCGTCCTGACCTTCTGGAGCAGTGCTGGCTCCGATAAATAACCCGCTCAGTGCCGTTTCAGAGCAGGAGTGGGAGGCGCAGGAAGGGAGAGGGGCTGGAGGCGCGCCCCCACGCAGGTGCGTGTCTCTGGGTTACTAATGGCTGAGGCGGGAGCAGGCAGCTGGCTTTGGGGGTGGTGGTAGTGGGGGACTCAGTTCCCTGAGACTCCCACTGAGAAAAATACCATCCCCACCCCACCCCTGGCGCCAATTTCCAGGCGAGGGGACTGAGAGATGCCAAGGAGGCAAACAGTCCCGTAAATTAGGCAGGCATGGGGGGGGGGGAGTGCCGGAGAGTCTCAGAGGTAGCAAGAAATGTAAGATGGGGGCGGGGGCTGGAGGAATGGAGTAGCTGCCAAAAAGAGAGGAAGCGGCACAGAAACACCACACAAAGGCAGTTTGGCAAAAGAAATGCTTTATTCCCCATTGCAGCGCTGTATAGGAAGGTGGCCATCTCCTGGTTCTGTGCATCTGACGTAAAGGTGTCTCCTCCAACATCCCTCATCTGCCCCACTCCCAGTGCTGGAGAAGCGCAGTCAGTGGACAGGGCAGACTGCTAGGTCAGAGCTTTCTATGGCCTTTTCCTGGGGAGAAAGTTTTGAGTCAAGGGGAAGATTAGACCTCAAAGTCGGTGTAGCAGTCTGTCCTGCTGGGGAAATCCAGGTCCCAAGGGAAAGGCACCACTGCCGGCCATGTAGGGAAGCCAAGAGCCCAGATCTACAGCTTTTTCATGTAAGACTGAGGCAGAGAGACGATAGGGTTAAGCTGCCAAGTGAGACCCAAGGCAGAGGAACAAATGCACTCCCGGGAAGCTGAGGGGCTTGACAGCCTCAAGATCCAGGCCCAAGCCTCTTCTCCAATTCAGAGCATCTGGACATGAGAATGGAGTTTTAGTTCTTGGGAGTGGCTCTGCTCCAGGACAAAATGAGGACAAAGCTGGCAACAATCCCACAGACAGTAAAGGTAGAGAGCTGGGATACTGGACAAGACGGACACTCAATAACCACTCACAGACCACGGTGATTTCGAAGCTGTATGCCTGGATCAGGGTACAGAATAAGTTTTAAAAGCCCTATGCAACAGTTAAGTTACAGTTTCTGCCTGTCTCCTTCCTATAAGCTATTCCAAGGCAGAGGACAGGGCAGCAAGAAGAAACAGGAGGGTTGCCAAGGTCAGTAAGTGAGCGAGACTGGCCACCTCCCGGCCCGTTCCCACCCTGCTCACCCTATGGAATGGGACACTCCGCTGCGCCCCCACCCCCCAACAACATATGTGCTGTTGGAAGAAGGCCTTGTAAGGGCAGAGGTGGAAAACACTCAGCACATTCTTTCTCCTGCTTTGATCTGGAGTGTGACTACAGCAAGGACAAAGAAGTAAAGAAAATATGGGGGCAGGTGAGCACGGAGCATAATCCAGTCTAGGAAGGAGGACAGTGCTTCCCTGCCCAGTATCTAAATCTGCCGGGAGCTTTCCTCCACGTAGAAGAGCGGGAAGGAAATGGAAGTGTGTTGGGGGAAGAGGGGCAACCCCAGATGAGATGAAGATTTAAGGATCCCTTGTGATCCCCAAGATGATCCTGAGAGCATCAGCTGGGGGCTCAGACAAGAAGTCATAGCAGACATGTGGATTTCTGAGGTGAGGAGCCAGGAGGGCCTTCACCGAAGGAGTGACCACTTGATCTGTTCTTTGGCCGACTGCAGCACCTGCGGAGACAAGGGTAGCACAGAGGGAGTCTTGCTGAGGGGGAGAGTGGGGATTGGGTTCACTCTCTCCTCACTTGCCCTCCCTATCTTTAGAAGAATGGGGAACAGAAAATCCCCAAGGGTGGAGGAATAGCAGGAAGCTCTCTAAGGCCCTAGAGGACTGTCAGTTTGGGAAATTCACCCCAAATTCAAATCTATTGGAGGAATGAATAGTGACACATTCACAAGAAAAAAATGGAGGGTTACTGGGCATAAAGAGCGAGTTATACATCCAGATATATTCTTTGGGATGGATTCCCAGTGGGTCAAAAACTAGAACCCTCATGGTAGTGTACCCCTATGATCCCAGCACTCAGGGAGGCTGACACAAGAGGATTACACTGAACTAGAGGCCATCCTGGGCTACATAGTGAGTTCAATGCCAGTCTGAATTATAGAGCAAGACTCTGACTCAAAAGAACAGTAACATCCAGAACATTCCCTTGCCTTCTGAATCAGGTAGATAATTTATCTTCAGTCAGTATAGCAGGATGAGCTGCAAAACCTGCATATTCTAGGATATACACTGCTAGCTTAGACCTCATTTGAATAATAAGTGTGCATGTGTGCGACACACACACACACACACACACACACACACACACCCCATCTGCTTAAGGCAAGCCTCTGCTGGGGAATAAATCACTGGCAAGGCATGGGCAAGGAGGGTTGGAAGGGTCCAAAACAAGGCTGAGGGCCACTGCTCACTGGCAACTGAGAAGCTGGAAGTGGGGGTGGGGCCCTGGCCTGTGGGGCAGAGTTGCACTTCTCTACAATACAGACATGAGGGGACCAAGGAGGGCGGCTGTCTCTAATCTCATTCCACCTTAGCAGGCTGGGTTGCTATTCCAGCTTCCTTGCTGACCCTGTCCATGTGGAACGGCAGAAGGGATAAAGTCATACCTGAGACACAGTCTGCTCAGTGAGGGGAACATCTTCACCCTGTAGCACGGAGACAAGCATTTAGATTGGTGTCTGGTAGTGAAAAGAAAAGCCAGTTGTTTAAATTGAAGCAAAGAGCAGACACCCTAAACTTTTCCATCCCTTCTAGGACTGAAATTTTACTTGGCCAGAGGGATCATGCACACACAAGAGTCATTTCACCCATGTTACATTTTAAGGCAGGAGGACTTCTTAAAAGATTTATTCCATTCTAAGTAATCAGCAGGTTATCTGATCCTCAACTCCCTTAACTCAGGGGTGGGAGACCTGATTCCCTAGTCAGAGGAGACCTTTCCTGAATATCAATATCACTGGGGAAAGGATGAGGGGGAGCCAGGGGTAGTTTAATGGATCCCGCAAGGCCTGCTGGGTAACGACAGCATGTTAATTTGAAGAAATAAACTGCTGCAACAGCAGCCTGAGAAGGGAAAGGGGGGAGTCAGTGGGGGGACCCTCTCTCTTGCCACATAGAGACATATGTTAGAGGAGAAGATTAAACTATGCAAATGGAGCCCACGGCAGTTAAGGGAGAAGATTTGCCATTACCCGGCACTGTCAGCCTTCACTCTGTGGAGGTCAGAGCTGGGACATTCTGTGAATAGGGAGGTTTGAGTTGCTCAAACATCTCTGTGCCCCACAATTTACAGGTGGGCTCTCCATGTACCCCATGATCTCCACAGCAAAACTGGAGCCTTCTGTAGTTAACCCTGAGGGCCCTGAGATCACTAGCATAGAAGAGGACTAAAGTTCTGGAGACTAATAATCACTTCCCTACAGAGATTATCCGGTTACATAAGATGTTAAAAGAAGGGTAGTGGGTATAGCTCGATGACACAGTGCCTGCCTGGCAAGCACAAGGCTCAATTTCCACCACCAAAAAAAGGAAAAAAGGCTGGGCATGGTGGTGCACTCCTATAAACCCAGGCCTCAGGGAGCTGAAGCAGGAGAGTCTTCATGAGTTTGAGGCCAACCCAGGCTATAAAGTGAGTTCAAAGCTAGCTTGAACTATGTAGTGAGACCCTGTCTCAAAAAAAAAAAAAAAAAACCTTGAGAGATGCAAGACACTCCTCTGTCTCAGATGAATGGATCCACCCACAAAGAGAGAATAAGCCAATCTCAAGTTTCTTTAGTTTCAGAACTCTGAATATGAAAGTTTTATATCACTCATTCAACATGTATACGTCAAGTGTCCACTTTGTGCTAAGACTACATGACAGATTAGGCACCATGTTAGGGGAAGAACTAAGTTCCTTCTGCTTGGCTTCTTTGGGACACTAAGATGCAAAAGGAAAGAGAAGGTGTGTACTCCTTTAGCCCTGCCCTATACACACAGTCAGCAGGTGTGACTCTGGAGGGCTTCTGTAGGTAGATGGGGGATCCAGGGAAAACTTTTTTTTTTTTTTCAAAACTGAGGATTGAACTCAGGCCCTTGTGCTTGCCAGGGAAGCACTTATTCCACTGAGCCATCTCTTCAGCCCCAAGGGAAAACACATTCTACTTACCCTTAATGCCACTCGGTGTACCACTTGCTGCGGATCACTCTCTAGGATCACCCTACAAAGAAGAAACCATTGTTCACTCTGTCCCAGAGGACCAACTTATGGGGACAGGACTTCTAGGTACTCAGCCCACCTGCCATATGCCAGGAGCAGTCACCCATCCTCCCCGCCAAGATTCAGGCAGGTCAGAGAACTCACCCTCCATCTACGATTTCATCCACAGCCAAGAAAAGCCCCTCCATGTTCTCCAGCAGAGCTCGCTTTTCTACATTTTTCCTAAGTTTCCAAAAGAAAGAGAATCATCAGCCTGTGTGTGAAACACATCCCAGGATATTATCTAGACAAGGGATTCTAAACTAGACAAGTATGTTTCTACCAACCAAAATGGTAAGTGAGTAAAGTGAAGATTTTTTAGTTAATCCACTATAAACTTCTTCCTGTTCTTGTTTGAGTAAAGATCAAGAATATCAAGGAGGGGGTCGGAGAGATGGCTCAATAGAATAAGCACTTCCCTGGCAAGTGCAAGGGCCTGAGTTCAATCCCTGGTTCCACAAAAAAAAAAAAAAAAAAATCAAGGACAGTTTAAAACTCACAGTCAATAATATCTGACTATTCACAGGCTGATTATCAAAAGCTACTTATTATTTCCTATCATTTCTTTCCTACCTGCCACAATGCTGCTCATGGCACTGCTTACAAACAGACATGAGTGGGTGGAAAAAGGGAAATAAACAGAGGGAACACTCAATCTGGTGGTGTGGGAGGCGAGGAGAGGTTGAATACAAACCCTATCTGTGCAGGAGTGGGAGGAGTGCTGACAAACCTCCTAAGCCTCTCTGCTTTCCTTCCTTCCCCTCCCTCAGCAGCTCTGCTCAGGCCTGAAAAGAATCCCAGCAAGGGGACTAAGCACGGTCAGGGTCTGCAGCCACCAGCCAGAGATCCGGTGGTTGGTGCATGTGGCCTGTCACATCCGTCAGTTTGACTCTTTCACGAGATTACCCGAAATGAAGTCTATTCATTCACCTGGCTAGGAAATAAATCATCCCCTTCCTGAGGAAACCTGAGCCCTTCGCCCTGCTGATTTCGAGGGCTGAGAGCGCCTGCTGTTCTGCTCGGCATGGCTGTCTGGACAGGACTCACACGGGAGCTGCTTGGGGAATGACGTGTGGAGCCCTGGATGGTTTCAGGAAAAGGGTCTTACGTCTTTTCTGCCTTTCTTACCACTGTTTAGTGGTAGCTGGGAGGTGAAAAGGGAGAAGAGGCCAAATGGTACATTCTTCCTGCTCTACAGAAGGAAAATACTAAGGGCTAGGAGTGGAAAGTCGGAGTGTTGCCTCCACTCCTCAGGCAGAAATGTTTCATCTTGGATACTGCCTTATTGTACTTTTCTTGCTGCAAAGAATGGAGCCCAGAACTGGGTGTGGTGGCACACTCCTGTAAACCCAGCACTGGAGGTTGAGGCAGGAAGATTGCTGCGTGTTCTAGACCAACCTGGGGGGGGGGGGTGCTGGTGAGATGGTAAGGTGGTCTAAAGCACCTACTTGGAACAAGCTTAGCAAAGCACAGGGACCACAGTTCAATCCCCCAGCACCACATGCCAGTCAGCCCCGCCCCCTGGTGGGCTGAGCTGCCCCCCCCAAAAAAAAAAAAAAAAAAAAAAAAAAAAAAAGAGACCAACCTGGGGGCTACAAAAGTGAGCACAAGGCAAGCCTGAACTGCATTGTGAGACCCTGTCTCAAAAGAAAAGAAAAAAAAAAAAAGAAAAGAAATGAAATGAAACGAAACGAAATGAAGAATGGAGCCCAGGCAACCATCTAGAAGGCACTCAGGTTTCCGAGACAGCCAGAGACAGCAGGAGAATCACCTTCCTCCCCAGATTGTTCCTCAGGCAGACCTGCTGAACCAAGCTCCCCCCAGTATGAATTACTCAGAAGTAGTAAGCCCAACCACTTAAACTAAATCAACTTCCTAGTGCCTCTGCCAATTGCTCAATCCCTGGACCTGAAGAATAAAGTTAAGCCTGAAAAATACTTTCTCTCCCAAACCAACATCAAGAATGGCTGCTCAAACTGGGCATGGTGGTACAAGCCTGTAATCCTAGCACTTGGGAGGCTGAGGCAGGATGATGATCCAAAGAGTTTGAGGCCAGTCTGGGCTACATAGTAAGTCCAGGCCAGCCTGAACTGAGACCCTGTCTCAAAAAAAAAAAAAAAAAAAAAGGCTTCTCAGCTGATCATAGCAGCATACCCCTGTAATCCTAACACTTGAGCCTAGGGCCAGGGAGATGGCTCAGTAGAATAAGCGCTTCCCTGGCAAGTGCAAGGGCCTAAGTTCAAACCCCGGTTCCAGAAAAAAAAAAAAAATGAAGTAATCCTAACACTTGAGCCTGAGGCAGATCATAAGCTCAAGGCTACCTTGGCCCACACCATGTTATTGTGTCTCAAAACAAAATTTTTTTTTTAAAAAAAAGGCTGCTTACCTTAGCATCTGGCTCAAGGAGTCAAAGAGGCAGTTCAGAACAGCCATAAGCATAAGCTGTTGGGAAACAGAGGAACACAAGAAAGTTCAAGGCTCTGAAAACTGCTACCCAAAAGCAAAACCATCCACTTCATTAAGCATAAAAATATAATACAGGACCAAAAACCATAGGGTAAGAAATGAGAGCAAAACAGGGAAAAGCCCTGTGGTTTCTCACAGAAGTGAATTCTGCTACATGATCCCACAATATGAAGTCTCTTTTGGCCAAAAATTCAAAATGAACTTTTTTCTCACAGTCCTCTGCGGCTCTTTACCAACTCTGTGTGTGTCATTGGATGATGCAGGTGGGACAGTCACCACCACTATGTAAGGTCAGAGGAAGGCAGCAGCGGAAAGACATATCTTCTTCCTCCCTCCCTTCCTTTTTGTTTTGTTTTGTTTGGTGCTGGAGAGTGAAACTAGAACCTGGACTGTGCTCACCATGAACTTTAGGGTTGGCCAAATAGCTCAGCGAATTAACACCTACAAGCAGGCACAGGGGTTGGGGGTTTGATCCCTGGGCCTGCTGTGTGTGCTGAGATGGCAACTGAGACTAGGGTGTGGTGGCACACGCCTGTAATCCCAGCTCTTGGGAGGTTGTAAACAGGTGGATCACTATGAGTCAGATCTAGTAGTGGACCCTGAACACCCTGTAGACCCTTCCTTAACATACAAAAAACCAAAACAAAACAACAACAACAAAAAAAATCATGAACATGATAGCTATGCTGTCACTGCCTGAGCATGAACCTCTGAGTCAGGCAGAGCTGGGCTTGAATCACAGCTAGCCCACTGCTACATGTGCAACCCTGAGAAACTAGGCTGAACCACACGAAACTGACATTTGTGTAATTTAACAATGGCCAAATACAAGTAATTTTATATGGTTCCTCAGGGTTTGGTTTCCTCTGTGGTAAACAATGGCACTAATGCCTACAACTCACAGAAGTGCTGCAGGGCTCAAGTAACAATGTAGTTTGTAAAGCACTCACAGTAAAAATAATAGCTCAGTAAAATAGGGTCTCTCAAACCTTCCCTTTTGCTAGAAACTAGATGGAGGCGTACTTTTACCTATCTGCATGCACAGAAGTGGCTACTACTTGAAGTAAATAGTTCTCCCCACCTATAGGAAGCCAGTCAGGACTACATTCACACTCAGTCCTGTTCACACCATCTAAAAAACGGGATGCAGCTCAGTGGCAGAGCACTTGCCTAGCATGCATGAGGCCCTGTGCTCAGTCCCCAGGGGCAGAAAGGGCAACCATCGTGCTCACAGGGGTACACAAGCCCAGCTCTACCTGACTCAGAGGCAGGAATGTGCTCAGGCAGTGACAGTGTAGCCCTTGGGAGGCTGAGGCCAGAGGATCTCATGTTCAAGGGTACTCTGGGCTACATAACAAGTTCAAGGCCAGTCTGACTACAAGCTCTGTCCCAAGAAATGAAACAACAAGCAACACACACACACACACACACACACACACACACATAAAACACTGATTATTTTGTATACTGATTTAAAAAAAAAAAAAAAGGTCTGGGAAAGCTTTCTTTCTAAGCTGACACATTTGTAAGGCCATGTTTGTGTGCCTAGTGGAATCTCTAACCACTTAGCTAGACCTGTCCAAAACTAGAATCATGGTTCTCCTAAGCCCCAAACTGGCTTAGCCTGTCCGGCTGGCTTAGGAAGCAGGACCAGACTGCCAAGAGGACCAGGAATGCTCACCTCATTTTCGTAGGAGCTGCCGATCACATAGAAATAGAGATCGATACTGCTCTTGTACACCACTGTCAGGCCTTCCAAGAGAGCAATTTCACCTGTGAGGGGATGAAGAGGAACAGCATGATGAGGAAGTGAGGAAGCAGAAGGGAAGGAGTTCTCTGAACTCCGGCCTCCAGCGGCTTGGGGCTGAGGTAAGGAAGGCTGTGATGACCTCCAGAGCCCAAAGCTGATCTATGTATGGGTAGTAGGAGAAGGGAAGTACAAACCTGAGGGAGTGCAAATGTATCTTCTCCTTTAACCTCCCCTCCCCAATTCCCACCCAGTATACACATATTTCCCTCCTTGTGTATGAGACAGGATACTAGTCGATCCTTCGGAGGTGAAAATGCAGAGCGGTCACCTTTACAGACTTCCATTTACCTGCCCTAATGGATGCGGTACAATAAGCAGAGCTGCAGTTAAATTTGTCAAGTGAGGCTCATAAATCCAGGGACTAGACAGGTAGCTAACAGCCAACCTTCTAGCACGGTATTCCCGCGTGAGGTACACTCACCTCCCCATTACATTTCCGAAGAGTTTATTATATGAGGGGAGGAGGAGAAAAAGAAAAAGGAGGCAGAGTCATTTCATCCTTTTGCTGCAGTTTGGCCGCTAACCCTCCCTGCCATGGTTCCCCCAAGCAGAGGGAGTAGGAAAAGGAAAATGACCTACTGTCAGTGCGATGGGTCTTGTTGAAAATGTTCTTCTCAAAGGCCTTCTGCTCCTTGACACTGGGGTAGGTGTCGTCATAGTACTGGTCAGAGGGAATGGAGACAGGGTTGGGTCATTGGAGCAGGGAGCCCAGAATGATTAGTGACTATGTTTGGCCCTGGGACCTTGATTTCTCTCCTTTGAGGCATGAGACAAGTGGGAAATGCCGACATGGAGGAGGAGGGACTGCAGAGGCAGGGAGTGGGCGATGAGTAATCAAATTTTAAAAAATAAAGGGACTCTGTGGTAAGTAACCCCACTTCGCATTTCTGAGACTACTGAACCTCTGCCCCCCACCTCCTGTCTGCATTGTGGGAAAGCTCTCCTAAGAGCCAGATTCCCATCAAGTATTTCACAGGAGCTGCCTGAGCAGGCGGCAGTACCAGAGGAAATGACAGTCACAGTAGCACAGAGCGTGCCTCAGTCGCTGCCTCACATATGAAACTGAGAAACAGGGAAGACTGAAAATCTCTTGCATCGGGGTCCTCCCCATCTCAGCTTTCTTCTCTGCAAGCCAGAAGAGCAGGGGGCAGCCTAGCACATCTCTGAGCCCACTCCCAAGCTCTCCCCAGAAGGGGGCGGGGATGCCGGCTGCTAAACCCTTTTGCTCTTTAGGGGCCAATCCGTCGCAGTCAGCTGAAGACCTATGACAGGTCTGGCATTTAGTAACTGGATAACTGTTTCAAAAGGTGTCCTGCATAGTTACATCCAATTACAGGGAGGAACAGCTGGTGAATTCTAAACTAATCTCTACCTGCTGATTGATTTATGCTACACTCGCCCGGAGTTCAGACACCAGGGACAGAAGAAATTTCTATAGGAGGAGGGAGAACACCTCTCCCTGTGGAGGGAGAAGAGGGGTGTCCTTTTTCCCCTCTTACAGTAGATTCAAAGTTACAAACACCGTACCCAGGTGCAACTGTAAATGTGGGGCTAGAATCCTGGAATTACAAGAAATGTCTCGCAAGAACGCAGGCAGGAAAGGGACAAGGGTGAGGGACGCACCCAGGGTGCTTCTGATGTCTACATGCCGCTTTGTTCAGGAACTAAGGTTTTGAAGTTGTCCCCTGCTCCCATGCAGGGAACAAAGGAGGTGAAACACTGAGGACAGAAAGTAAGGAAATAGTAGAACTAAGGTACAGTAAAGGAAATGGAAAGCCCAGTGTAGTCCCAGCACTCCAGGAGGCTGAAGCAGGAGGATCACCTCAAGTCTGAGAGCAGCCTGGACAACACAGCGACACCCTGGTATCAAAAAATCCAAAACAGGGCTGGGTATATAGCCCAGTGGCACAAGCACCTGCCTGGCAAACACAAGGTTCTGAGTTAGAGTCCCAGTACCAAAAAATGCGAAAAAAGTAAGTAAATAAATAAATAAATGGTATTGTATCCCTTTGCTATAGGCCACCTTCATGCTATGGAGTGTACTTTTCCTTCCTACCTTTTTTTTTTTTTTTTTTTCAGAACCGGGGATTGAACACAGGCCCTTGTGCTTGCCAGGGAAGCGCTTATTCCACTGAGCCATCTCCCCAGCCCCTTCCTTCCTACCTTTATGTGGCTCAAAATTGCTCTGCAAAGCCTGTTTTTGGTTCCCCAATCTTTTTTTTTTTATTTGTGCTTGCACACTGATTCTACTGAGCCATCTGCCTGGCCCCTCCCCAACCTTTAATAAATATAAAACTTTGGGACCAGGGAGATGGCTCAGTGGAATAAGCACTTCCCTGGCAATCCCAAGGGCCTGAGTTCAATCCCCTGTTTCGCAAAAAAAGCCACCAAATAAATAATAAGTATAAAGGCCTCAGGTTCCCTTCCCAGAACTGGAAAAAACAGACAAACAGGTTTTATCCAAAGTAGTTTATGTACAGTGGAAGACTTCTTGGACTGGGGATGTAGTTCAGTGGCAGGTTACCATAAAGAAAAAAGAAGAGGAGATGGCTCAGTAGAATTAAGTGCATGCCTGGCAAGCGCAAAAGCCTGAGTTCAATTCCTGGTTCCGCCAAAAAAATTTTAAAAAGATGGAGGGGCCGGGGAGATAGCTCAGTGGAATAAGCGCTTCCCTGGCAAGTGCAAGGGCCTGAGTTCAATCCCTGGTTCCAAAAAAAAAGATGGGGGGCTGACAGGATAGCTCAGAAGCGCCTGCTTAGGCAGATGCAGGGGCTGGAGGTTGAAAGAGACTAGGTATGGTGGCGAGAGCCTGTAATCCTAGTGCTTGGGAAGCTGAAAACAGAATCACTACAAGTCCGATCTGTGTAGTGAGACCCTGCAGACATTCCCTGCACTAAATACAAAAAAAAAAAAAAAGAAGAAGACTTTTCAAAATTATACTATTGGAGAATATGACTTAATGGGGCCAAGTTCTAAAATTCAAACTTCAGAGTGTTTCAGTCCTGCTCCTAAACAAGTTTGAAAGGGTCTCTCACCTTGGCAAAAAGTCGATCTCCATCATTGTCCAGGATCAGGATGGCTTTGACAGTATACAGGGAGGGTTCCTGAGGAGATAGGAATGGATCTTTAGTTGTGAAGGGGCCCTCGCACCGGCAAGCCAGACACCTTCTTCCCCTGACCGACTGGGGCTTCAGAAGCTAGAGGCGCTCCTGTGTGTCCCCAACCCCAACATGGTTGTTTTCAGATACTGCCCACTGAGAATAATCAATTAGTAAGTGACCTGCACTGGGGAAGGGAGCATTTCAACAAAGGACGCCAAAGCAGCACCAAAGAAACACTGTCTCTGACTCACAGAAGGCTTAGTCATGGCAGGTCCTGCTGCTATTTCCAAAATATCTGGTATGGTCATTTTCCAAATCACCCTCCCTCCCTGGTTTCCCATGCACAGGGGTTATGGGATGTGACTCGGTTAATTAATAACACTGAAGGCCATCTGAAAACAGCGGTGACTGACTGCTTCAGTGTACTTGGAAGCTTCTGCAGTCTAAACTGCAGACATAAAGCAAGGCTTCCCGACACCACCCACCCACTGAATAGAAGGAAACGCTTGCGTGCAAGCACACGCACACACGCACCACTTCTCACTGAGAGACATCATCCCCAAGCTCTTACGAAACATAACTCCTCTACTAGGCCTTAACCACTACCACTTAACCTGCTAGGACTGAAGTCAACCTGAAGTCTGGGGGTGAAAGATTATAAGAAGATATGAGAGACACCCTGAGTCAGGGAGATATTAGGCAGGAGGGGAATTTCCCAAGGGGTGGGGATGTAGCTCAATGGTAGTAAGGTCTGGGTTCAATCCCTAGACAAAACCAGACTCAAACTGAGGCGACAGCCTATGGTAAAGGCCTCCAGGCTAAGCCTTAACAGTTACAATTAATTCCTTTTTCGACCACAAACAGGACTTTACAAAAACTGCAGTTCCCTGTTAGTCCCTCTCTTCTCTCCTGCTTTCTTCTAGGGAACCAGACAACTAGAAGAGGGAAGAGAAGACAGAGCAGGTAGCAGTTTATAGGTGGAAGGTACTCCCCACTTTGTACTCTTTGACTTTCTAATTAAATCCACGGTGTCCATGATGCCTGTGCTGAGAGGCAAGCCTGTTGCTTCTCTCTCTCGGGCTTGCTTAGGAGACCCAAGGTGCTCAAAGGAGCCAAATGCATTCCCCAAGGAAGTGTTTAACAAAGACTCCAGGGTGAGAGGGAGAGAATTACACTGCCAGAATCTACAAAGGTAAATTGGCCCCTGAGGCTTGAGAAAATGTATAGAAAGCATCTACCCTGCTTAAAAGGGCACAGGGGGGCTGGTGAGATGGCTCAGTGGTCTAAAGCACCTACTTGGAACAAGCTTAGCAAGCACAGGGACCGCGGTTCAATCCCCCAGCACCACATGCCAGCCAGCCCCGCCCCCTGGTGGGCTGAGCTGGCCACACACACACACACACAAATAAATAAAATTTTAAAAAAAGGGCACAGGGTGTGGATTAAGAATGGGAATAGGGCCGGGGAGATGGCTCAGTGGAATAAGTGCTTCCCTGGCAAGTGCAAGGGCCTGAGTTCAATCCCCGGTTCTGCAAAAAAAAGAAAGGGAATTCAGTCTTCTGACAGGGCAGAAAGGGATGTGCACTTTCCACTTGGATTCTTGGAGGCAGCAATTTTTCTGTTTTTCACTGATACACTCTTGTGTCTAGAACAGTATCTGTCGCATACTGAACTCTCAATAGATGTTCATTAACTGAAGGAATAAGGAAGCATGAGAATAAGATAAAAACTCTTGATGTATTAAGTTTTTAGGGGGACCTGTGATCATTAGAAGGCCACCCATAAGTGGTTTTTCTAATGTGACCATTTGGGGTGATATTTCTTTTTTTTTTTTTCCCATAATTTTATTGATAAACAAATAGCAATGAGACAGTTTCAAATCAAATTGGTAGGACAGTTTCAATAATTCACACATTGCATACATTCTTCCTAGTGGTTAACTGCTGTACAAGATGTGGACATGATATCCTATTTACAAACACCATTAGAACAAATCCCTCTATTCATTAAGAGAATGTAACTATGTATCTATCCTAACCACTTTGAATACACAGATACAAAATGGACATTCATCTGTATCCCCTTTTTTTTGTTAAGTTCCGTTATTTGAATATTATAGGTGTGTAAACTCAGCAAATTATTCTAAAAGAGTCCAGTAGCCCATAATAGTATTGGGTCTTCCGCTTCACTGGCAATGTCAGAAATTGTTGACCTGAGTCCCCTGTAACTCAACATAACAGCATGGCTTTACTTCTTATATTTCGTTTTTATACTTTTCTGCTGGATGGTTAAGACCAAGGTAAAGCAGGACCTATGCAACAAGAGTTATAGCTTTTGGGTCTGATAAGGTCAGTGAAATCCCCTCAGGATTTATCCTGAGATCCTGTACCTCAGATTGTTTGTCAGTGTCAGCCATATGGATGAGTCACGGCCATTGCTTGGCCAATGTGCTCTCTGTGAAAGCCTGAGAGAATGTTTTCTCTCCATGTGACTCGCCTTAGGCACGCTCTACATTATTGATCACTTTCCTTTTTGGCCCCATAATCTCCTTGATCAGACTGGGACCCTATTGAATTACATGACGTTACAGTACAGGTTTTCATATGTCCTGAGTCTTAACTGACCTTAGAAGGCTAGGGCCAAAATGTTGGCTTTCTTTGCAGCCCTCCTTTTTCTCTAATTTTGGTCTGCAAACTTAGGTTGTTAATCATCCAGAAGACAAGCTTATTGTTATTGGGGTGATATTTCTACCAACCTTTCCTCTCCTCTGACACATGCCTTAGAGCTGGCCACCCTATGTACACTGTACTCTGGAAAAGGCAGAAAAGACTCCCATGTCCAAATAAGGAATGTTGGCCTCAAATCACAAGCAGAAGCAGCTTTCCTAGCTCCCAGTTCCTCACAGAAGGAGCTCCCCATATAAAAAGGATAAAAATATGCTATGTACATGTGCCGACTCAACGAGATGAATGTAATTATTATGAATACACTGCAAAATATGTACTAATAAAACATAAAATCTTCCCAAAAAGCAGGCTCAGTTCTACAGCAACTTGGCTCTCAATTTACCAAGAGAGAGATACCAACAGGAATGAGTTTCCTTGAAGGGAAAAAAAAAAAAAAATCCAAATGAATGGAAATTTAGAAGTTGTTCTTCTACAACCTTTTCTCTAGAAATCCTTGGCTCTGACTCTACCCACATTCATGGAAACCTTAGAGAATAGCCCACTGGTTTAATCTGGATTTTAACCTGGCATTCACAACCAATTCTTGCAGCCAGTCTGGCATCCCTAGAAAGAACAGGAACACACAAAAAGTAAAGCCCACATGGCTACCAGCCAACTGGGAGAGCCAATGTTCTTGTGGCCAGCATAGTATGAGTGTCTGAATAGTTGGAGGCAAAAGGGAAACCTCCCTGGATTCTGCTCCTTGCTCTTTTCATTGGCTTCCTAGAAGATGAAAAGAAACAAAAGCCAGGTACGGTGGTCCATGGATGCAAGCCTCAGTCCTTTGGGAGGCTGAGGCAGAAAGATCAAAAGTTCCAGCCCAACTTGGGCAACTTAGCAATCAGGGAGATTGTACCTCACAAAAACAGGGATAGGCTGGGGATACAGTTCGCGCATTGGCCCTGGAAAACAACAAAAAATCCAAACATTACGTCTTGCTAAGCAAAGAGACAGAGAGGCCGATGAAGGCAAGGAGAGAGCCCAGAGCTGATGGCTGAGCTGTGGAAAACCAAAGATGCTATTACAGCAAAGGCTGGTCACCTCAAACTTCCCAAGGAGAACCACAATTAAGTGTGCTCTTCAAGCCCACTCTACCACTGGAGCCAGCAGCTTCTCCTTTACTTCTCCTACCACCTTCTGCAGTTGCTTCCCCTTCAGCCTGGGGCCTTTACCTCTTAGGAGTTCCTGCCATAAAACCAGCCAGTTTAAAGGCCCCAGAGGCCATTACTGGTAATATAATTTCATTTTAAGGTTTTGCAAAGGGCAAGTTTATAAATAATTCCCAGCAACCGAGAAACAGGCTTCCTGGACAGGGGACTAGCCTTGACCTTGTAACACATGACATGCTAGTTGTTGAGAAAGACCCTACAAGCGTAGGACCATATTCAAAAGATTTAAAAGGTCTATTCTTCCCTCCCACTTCCCAAATGGGTAGCTGCGAGAAAGCTTTCGAGACAAAGTTCTGTGATGCACTGACTTTCAGAGAGCCACAGCCTGAGTGTATAACAGAACTTCACCTCAAATGCTAACGGCGCCTGGAAATGATGTGTAGGCAGGCTGGCTTGTGGGAGGAGGTACAGCTTGGATGGATTACTGTGAGTGGCTTTATTATCAAGAAAACTAGAATGCACTCCTCAAGACGGCTGAAACACCATCAAACAAGCATCTAGGCTGCTACAAAAGGTGCTTTGACCTCAATCAGGGGTTTGTAAGGCAGGGTGAAAAGCATCTCCCAGAGCTCCCTCCCCTCAGAAGAGGACCAGAGTGGAAGAGCCATTTCTAGTGCTGCCCCCTGTGGGCCTTCTAGGAGATCTGCAATTGCCTGAGAGAGGAGTCTTAACAAAAATAAAAAGGCAGGTCTGGATAAAAGCTATTTGTGTATCTTTTAAATGACACTTATAGAGATAGGCTCTGAAAAAGAAAAACACTGAAATCAAGTTGGTTTAGGGCCCGGGGGATGGCTCAGTAGAATAAGTGTCTGCCTGGCAAGCGCATGATCCAGAATTCAATCCCGGTTCCACAAGAAAAAAAAGAAAGAAAAGAAAAGAAAAGAAAAGAAAAGAAAAGAAAAGAAAAGAAAAG